CGTGTGCGTGTGCGTGTGCGTGTGCGTGTGCGTGTGCGTGTGCGTGTGCGTGTGCGTGTGCTGCGTGTGCGGGGGCGGGGGCGTGTGCGTGTGTGTGTGTTTGTAAGTGTCAGTGTCTTCATACGCCTACCCCAATAGAAATGCTGTTATTGGGTAGATATTTGTGAGATTCCATAGTGATGTGTAGTGAATAGCGAGCACCAGTGTAACAAAAATAATCAACAATAAGATTTAAAACATATTCTACATAATTATAGGACGTAGAGGACAGCACAAAAGCCCTGAAGCAGCTGCTCAACATTAAGTGTGAAGGAGATGTTCCGTCAGAGGGAGCCACCAACAGTAATGTCGACGCCGTCCAGTACGGTATTCCAGTCTCTGTGGAAGATCTCTTTAAAAGTAAGATTATTACGGATTTTAGGAAGTGATGTGATTTGAGGATAGAGGTCATTGCAACCTCGTACGCATTTGTGAGACCAGCGATGGAGCTTTTGTCGCATTGTTGTAGCCCCGCAGCATTTTATTCTATTCTTGTAATTTGCAGCTGTTTCTTATCGTAATTTGCTTCTTTTCGTTTCTAGCGAGTGTCGTAATTGCAGCTTTATTTGCGTTATTCTATCTCTTGTAGCTGCCAGTGAAGCTGCATTGATCAGGCAGCAGCAGCAGCAGCAGCCACGGGTGCAGCAGAGGCCGATCATGCATCCACAGGTTCAGGCGCCTATTCAGCCGATGTTACAGAAGACACAAATGGCAGCACATGTACAGCCAAACCGAGTCAGTGCTCAGGGAAATCAAGCAGCTATATCTGCGCTAGGTGGCAGGCAACAACCGAGAAGGTATGCAGTTGTCGTTGGTTTTTGTAAACTTTTGCAGAACGGTGCTTTGCGTTAAACTGAACATTGCTGTTAAATGTTTTGATGTACACCTATTGCAAAGACAGGACACTAATTAATGTTGGTTTTCGTAACAGGGCCGTATATGATCTGGCGATGTGGTGCCAGGGAGTCGGCCTCCATCCACCTCACTATGAGTACATTTCGCAGGGATCTGTGAGTAGGCTCATTCAAAATTGTCAACATTAAAATCGCATGTTATAATTACACTTAAACCTGTGTTAGCAAATATTTTTATACAATGGACACCTATTCATAAAGAATACTTAGCAGTTCCTTGGAGTAGAATGAGCACCCATCTGTAAAATACACTTTGCATATTTTTTGATTGGGAGTGATGCACTGAAACCACCTAGATCTATAGAAGGGCACATATCTGTAAACGCAACTTTTAGGGGTTTACCTTGAGTGACCCTTATATACAGGTTTGACTGTACATCAAGATACAGATTGTCGCAACATTATGCCTCCATATTACACTCACACGGCATCTCTCAAAGTTTCACCATCATTCACTATATGCCGTTGGAGTTGTTCATTGATTTGTGGATATCGGTCCCTCGCAGATAGAAACACCGTCATGTTCCATGTCATGCATTAATCTTGAATTTAGTCTTTTCTTTTGTGATGGAATACAATAATTTACTTTCCAAGATGGCACTAGCATCTTTTCAGAATACGACCTGTGACTTCCACCGAAGAAACGTAGTTCTGAAAATAATAAATAAAGTCTTCGATTCCCAGTTGGCCAATAAACCAACGAACCTAAAGGCTGAGCCAGAAAAAACAAACACGATAGGTATTTTGCTCGCGCACCGTGTGCGGGGGCCTTAACGGCTAATCATCGCTCATCTTCTGCAGGATGTGTTCGCGAAGCTGACGCTGAGTAACGGCCTGCGCTGCCAGGGCTCGATGATGCGTAGCCGCGACCAGGCGGCAGAGAGCGCCGCCGCCGTCACGCTCATGCACGTAGGCTCGAACAACCCCGCCATGGTGCGACCCCCACCACTCACGGCTGGCTTCTCTCCTCGTCCACCTCCGCCACCAGGTGGGCTATTCGTGTAGCGTGGCGGGACGACGATCGCTCGTGCTGGGGTGGGGGGGGGGCAAAACACTGTGTGTTCGACGGTGTGAGATAGAATCATCACGTAGAGCAGTGTGTACAGAGTGTCGTATAAACGTTGGCTAAAATCCTTGTGCATACAGTGATACTTGCAATGATGCTTTGGTGCAGTGTTGAGAGCATAGAATACTTTAGCACATTGTGTTATGAGAATAGAAGAAGGGAGCACAGAGTATTGCAAGCATAGCCTATAATCTTGTACGGAATGGTCTGAACATAGAATATTGGCAGGTACCCATACTTCCTTGAGTCCTGCCATTGCGTGTGTATAAGAAGCTCCCTATGGTGTTAATTGCGATAATGCCTGTCAACATTATCATTGGCAAGATATTGAGTAGTACATTGCTTTTCAGGTGGATATCCAGGGCCTAGGGGACTTCACCAAATACAGAATTCATCTGTCCATGCAGCGAACATGCACCCTATCAATTATTCATCGAATGTGCTTGCCCCAGCGAGATTTGTGCCACCAGTGATGCCCCATGCAGGAATCATGATGAACGTTGGTGGCACCTTCCCTAGAAGCCCACAAGCAAGTGGTAAACACCTTCCGTCCACCTTCCCATTATAATATAGAGATGGCGACTGTCAGTATAAAGTCAGTTCCTAATTGTTTTGTCAGTAAGTGATGACGATGCGGTGCAAAGTGGCATCGCACACCAGTGCCGAACGTGTTAGCTGCATGTGGTGGTCACACATAGCGGAAGAATGACATAGCACTCGGGTGTGAAGGCATGCCGATGTGTTACATCAGTATGCTCACGCGCGTGTCAGCGATATTTCTAATAGAAGAATAGATAATGCTGTAGTGCTGCACCACACAATCACAATAGCCATTATCACATACTCTGCGGCTGTTCTAGGTGGCATGGAGCAGAGGGATTTGACTGGACAGGCACTGGCTCAGAGACCAGTTGATTTCAATAAGTCGGAAGCAAGTTCTGACAGCCCGCGAACACCACAGAAGTCATCCGGTGGAATTCCTGCTGCATTCATACCACTGCAGGTAGTACCACCTTTAAACGATGTCCACTAACCCAACTGGGGCCCATTGCACGAAACGTAGTGTAGTAATAATTATATCTATAACATAAGATATAGAATGTAAGATATAATTAAAAATCTAAAATATTGTAATTTTGAAGTAGCGTCGTACAAAACCTATGACATTTTAGAGGTTACGGTCATAATACCGCATCGGTCAGGGCATAGACCGTTCCTGGCCATCACAATCGCACACAAACACAAACCCTTTGATCGTCAGCGATGTCTCTGCCGCTTCAGGTTCAGAAACAACAGACGCCGGTTCGTAAAAAGTCGGCTGAGGTGATCGTTGGAGAGCAGCCAATGGCTAGTACCACCACAAGACGCTCGGCAGGCACAAAGGTTGCGGAGGCGTCGTCTGCTGGCAGCACGCAGGAACGATTGCAGACCACCAACCTGTTTCAACCCGAGCAGAAGCCAAAGGATGCGCAGCCAAAGCAGAAACCGAAACCTCGCCAGCCACGAAAGTCGCGCCTGGCGATAAAGTTTAGCACGACCGGCGAGCAAATATAGAGAGTGTGTGGAGCGTGTCGCTTTGTGCGTGCATCAACTGTGATACTCTTTTGAATCTTCGGTCAACAGATGTATCGTATATTATTTTCGTAAGTAAGGGACGGGAAACGTCTGCATGTCGGTTGTATACGTGTGGGAAAAGATAGTGTACTGCTATTGTGAGCTGTGTGTTACCACACTACATGTACAGAATGCAGACTTATTGGCACCAAATTGTTCTCGTATTTGAGTTTACTAGGCTAGACTCTTACTTATGGAACCAGTCTTGTGTTGAAATGATATAAATAATGCACCTGTGACAACAAACAGTTTAGTGCCCTGTCAGGAACATTATTTGACATTATTGTTTGTGAAAGCGTAATGCAGGTGAGATTCATGTTGAGTTTCCATGTGGCTGTAATTTAGCCGTTTTGATTATTTAGCCACAGGTGCGTTTTCTTGTATAGAACATAGTGCAAGTCTGTTTTAGATTTTAGCAACTTGTTTTCATTGCAAAGACAACACTGACTTTTATAGTAAGTGTAAAAATATGTGACGGTAGATGAAGGAGTAGAGTTATAAGCTGTTTTTAAACATTGATTTTTTCTCGAATTATGAGGTACCTATGTAAAACCAAAAATATATCACTACTAGTAGGGGTATGTGTTTGGTAAAGTAATTTGCACAAGGCATGATTGCCAACTGTGTGAAATGTGCACTTAATTAAACGTGTGCGCACACACACCGCACACCCACACGCACACACGCATGTGTGCGGATACGGACGCTAAACACGCACGCACGCACAGACACAAAGACACACGCACACACAGACACGTACGCACATAAATACCCATACGTACGCGCACACAAACACGAACGCACACACAGACACAAATACTCACGCGCGCATGAATGCACGAACACTGCTTTAGTTATGTTGAGAAATCAATGTTATCAATGTCAAAGCCAGTAAGCATTGAAGCTGCAGTGCAGAGCTCTACACTTCTGAAGTTGGACTGAGCTAAATTTTGAAATGTTGGTTACCTGTATGTCACGCTTAAACTAAACGAAGAGGAATTAAAAGCAAACGCCACGTAAGTGGATTTTTTAATGTGTGTTTATAATGGGTGTACTACACCATTCAAGAAGCTTGTAAAAACTGAATAGATGTTTCAGAACATGTTACAAAATTCGTGTTCATTGGTTTTCATTAAACACGAAGCATTACGATATGAATACAAAAACACGAACTAGTTCTAGCCATTCATGGGCAGTACAAATTATAAAATCTGTTTGGTAACAATTCATTTACATCATAATAATTTTCTCAGACGTCCTTGGTGACTTTGATCACCAACTTGATGCATCGACATCTTCATTGTCTGACACAAATCCTCGGTCATAACATGGCCAGCTTTATCTCTGTGTCTGTTGAGGGACGCTGCAAGTGGTCATCATCCGAGATGTACAGTGTGGTATTCGTCGAACCGTCCTGAGCAAAGTGCTGTTGGCCATGTTGCATGGATAACCCAGGAAGTTCACGCTGCAGCATCGAGCATTGACCTTTACACCGTACTGGCGTGCAGTTGTGCCCGCACTCGCCAACCGATGAGCATTGCAGGTTGCACCGGCCTGTCAGGCAGGACTGCGACTCTTCGCACTCGTACCGCACTTGATTGTGCGACTGTGCAGTGGCGCCCTCTTGTTCTGAGTAAGCGCACTCCCCGGCATTTTCCTCTTTGATCTCGCCGTAACTGCTGCAGGTCCTCTGCAGCTGCTGGAGGTTGCGCATGCGAATCAGCTCCATCATGTTGTAGCACTGGTGCCGGCTGATGCACTGATGCGTCACGGACAGTATCTCCTCGTTCGTCCGCAGAAGGTGGTCGATGTAGTCCGGCACGGTGGCGACGATCGGCGCGCTGTGGTTGCTGGTGATCGCCAGTCGACCGTCCTGCAGAGAGAACGTGCGCGACTCGGCGGGCGGCAGGTAGTTTGGATTGACGAAGCTCGCGCAGTTGCCGCGCCCATCGCAGTTCTTGTCTGCAAGCGTGTCATCACCCTCTGGCTCGCAAATCTCCATGATCACGCAGTCGGTTTTCGACGCGGATGACAGGTACTGCTGGGCAGCTTTGCTCAGCGCAGTGGATGCCACCTGCATCTTAGGAGTGGCTTGTCGCTGCTCCTCGTTAGCTCCTTGTGATGGGTCAGCTGTGTAAAATGGCTTTTTATCATATTTCTCTCTGGGTGAGCCTGTCTCCGCCTCCAGTGCCGGCTCACCGCTAATTCTGGCAGATTTTGACGGCACTGGGACCGCATTGCGATCGTCGTATGAACGTTTTACTCTACCCGGTTTGCTTTTGCGTGGACTTAACCTATTAAGATTATGACTTGCAGATGACTTGGCGACATAACTTTCATCAACACCAAGCAATAGATTCGTTGGTGTGGTTGACGTGATTTGGCAGTTTGCATCAAGATTGGTGCACAACATTTGACCTCTGTTCGATCTTCTATTATAGCTGTCGATTCCATCAACGGTGGATTGCTGCTGTTTCTGAACAGTTCCATCATAAACTGAAACTGGTGGCATGATTCGGTTGGTATCCGTATTGGAACTCGATCGAGGTATGACCGTTTGAAGGTCACACCTATCTCGTCTACTAAAGAATTGCTCCGGATTGCTTGACATTGTGTTGCTTGACACCGTGTTTTTTAGCCTGTTGCCTGCAAGCCAATAGAGCCTTAATTGGTTTAAAAAATATACAATAAACATTAGTTTAACCTCCAAACAACCTTCGACTTCTACTTTGTCATTGCCCCCGTTAATAACTGTTCAATTTATAGGGCAGCATCACAATATTATTTCCAACTAGCTACAAATAGACGTTTCTTTCATTTTAATCAAGCCATTGTTCTCTTGGCAAATCATTTTGGCCTATAATTTTAGTCTATCTATACATTACCATTGCAGATCATGATTTATAACTACTAATAGTAATAACTAACTAGGCCTCCAGTTCTCGTTCCTGCGCGTTTCACACATTGTGTTTCAACATGTTAGCTGGTATGATGTCCTACACTACAGCAGAACCAGCACTGTGCATAGCGTGTAACTAATACTAATAGGCCTATATAGTCTTAGTTGTATGTTATCAGTATACTTACAAGGCGAGTCTTTTGTTTGTCCAATAATATAATACTAGTCTATACTCCAGTTAATGAGTTAGAAGTAATAGAACGGCATTGCATGACGTTTCGACTTTCTGTGCGCTGTCTGTGCTGTTCCCACTGCGCTGCGCAGTGGGCATACACTTTACAATTGTTAGTAAACAATGGTGACGTAATACCTGAAACAATGAAGGGCTCACCATTTGTTTGTAAGTATCCATAGCAATCCGTTTTTGTGTTTAAAGCATTATTATTATAATATTAGAGTTCTATGCGGGGCCTTGTTGGCGACCATTACTTGGTGAATTACCAATACCACATACTATAGAGGTACGAAAGAGGAAAATTACATTATATCTGATAGCAATTATTACGTAATTTATCGCAGCGTAGGCCCATTGATTTAATATAAATGATCGAGTTCTTTTACTTTTTAGGTTAATTGCAAGCAGAAAAAATGGCTCACCAAGAAATGCAGGGCCCTGGCATCTTACAAAATGCCCCACCGTCGCCAACTGGCGAACGGCCCTCTACTGAAATCGTTGCACGGACGGAGACCACTCGGTTCGTCGTTTGTGATACCTCTACTAACAACAGCTATACCACTACTAGTAGAAGCAACGATTCCACTAGCAGCATTATGGTGGGTTCGACAGCGAATTCGCTCCCCTCCCAGCAGGTATCAAGTCGCATCTCTCACGGAGCAACCGTAGCCGTAACTCAACCTCTAGCGTCGTCGTCATCGTCTCACGTTCCCTTCACTGTCACTGTCCCATTCACGGCTGGAAACGGCAAATCGGCGATGCGAACCATCACAGCTCACATCGTGAAGACCACCGACGGCTATTATAAACTCGTTCAGAGCCGCGATCGAGGCTACGTGCAGTCGATGGCGGGCAGGTTTCTCACCGTGCTCACCACTAGTCCGTCCAACAGAACGCGCGCTGACGGATCGACTTCCACTTCGTCGAAGCCGACGAAACAGATAGGTTCGTCACTCCTGGCGATCCGCAGCTCGACGTGTGTGCCGACGGGCGGCAAAGCAGCGACGGGAAGTAACATTGCGGCGCGACTATCCCTCACCACCACTAGCGAGCAATGTCCGAACGCAAGCCGCAGCGGTGAGCCTACTTCGAGCGCCAGCGAACTGGTGTCGGCTGCGAGAACAGCGTGCAACGCGACGATGGTACACAGAAAACCGACTGCGTTCTCAACGCACGAGCAGTGCCGCGATGCGCGGAGCCTGGACAGCGCGGACAGCTCGCTGGCAGACGGATGGCGACATCTTCAGCAACTAGAAGCGATGCGAACCGAGTCGCGATTCCACGCAATCGAATGTAAGCGATCGACTGACAACAACGTCGGCGCTACTACTACTACGTGCGGCGTTTACAATCGCAATATTATATCTCCCGCTACGAAGGTCTCGCGCGTAATTCGCTCAGACGGCCAGCATCAGAGAATAATCTACCCGGACCTTCCAAGGCTCGCCGTAAGAACCTCTGACAAGCACCGCGCCATTATTCGTTGTGCCGCCGCACCCGCCGTCAACGACGACGTCAACCGAGAGCGGAGTAGTAGCGCGAGGCGTCGCTGCGTCACGCCGTCATTCGACATGCCCGGAGTGCTGAAATGCGTGCAACAATCCGCCGAGTCGATACTGGACATCCTGAAACCGGAATCTGACGACGACGCGGATTTGGTGGTCGGCGACGCGGAAGACGCGTCGCAGCCGCCGCCGCCGCCGCCGCCGCCGTCAGTGCCGAGTTTTACTCCGCCTGCCGAGCCGACGTCGCTGACGGAAGACGAGCGCGCCATTGAAGCTCTACTAAAGGTCGAGTTCAATCAGACGATTGACCCGCAGCCCAGCGGCGCGCCCGTGTTCGACGTGAATCATACGCCGACGAAGAAGAGAATCGCGTTGTCGTCACAATTAACGCAGAAAAAAAAGCGGAGGACGTCGACGTCAACTGCGTCCAAGACTAGCGCGCTGCACGCGCATACGAGTGACGACACGTCTTCGTCGTGTAGTTTGGCGGGCGATCTGAATCCGGAGACGTTGGATATTGCGATCGGGGAAACGTTGCCCGTTCTGTTGAATAGCTGGAATAGGTATAGTCCATTTATTTTCATTTTAAGGAATGCGTTCATTCGTTAGCTACTGTATCCGGGGAGAGGGGCCTTTGCATGACATCTCAATTTAATTAAATCTTTAACGTCGATACAGGTACTTGCAGGCGACAGCTGACGAGATGATGGCGGCAGAATTGGAAAATGCGCAATCATACCGTTACAACAATGACGCCATCGCCATGGTTTCGGCGGGCCACGACGCCAGCGTCTGGGATATGATCAACAACATGCGTCTAACTTTTCCCCAGTTCGCCAACGGTCATTTATTCAACATGTATTAGGAATACATAGCTTTACGGTAGCAGCTTCTAACAAAGCAGCAAGGAGGTATAGTGACATAATTCACATCACACATCACGTGTGCGTACTAAATGCGCATCGTCCATGTTGCTATTTATTAATACGTAGTTGTGTGCGCTCGAAACGAGCTGGAATAAATAGATAACGCATCGTATAAGGGTCGAATTTGCTCTCGATCGAGCTGTCGTTTGCAGCCACAAGCATATCAAGATATTAATCATTTATTAAGGGTTAATTACTTATGTCCTTTTTGCGATACACTTATAGCTGGATACAATAGTAGGGACAGCGTGCACCTGTGATACACACATAATCAGTTACGTGGAAATTAATGTACGGATAAGCGCCTAATCTTTTTTACACATCAGCCGTGTAGATTCTAGGCGGCAGGTGGTGACTTGAAAAAATTCAATCAACTCATGAAATAAGATCGTGTAGACTAGTTAAATTAATTATTTATACTGATGGGCTTTAAATGGAGACGGTAATTGCGAAAGGTAAATCACGTTATGTCACTTTAGTTGTCATCATCAAATATTGTGCAAATCGTAACAAATCGTGCAATCACGTACATTGGGTAAAACAATTCCTAATACAAAATCGATGGTATTTTTGAGATTTCTTAAGCGTCCTTTTACATGTATGTAATCACATTTTTAATAATATATATATATATATATGTCTAATATTTGTTGAACGAGAACAGATGGAATTATCCTCACAATTTTATAAAATTTCTAAATAAAGTTTATATTCTATTATACATAATAAGTTACGTTGTTATTAGTATCCGCGTGTACACACACATGTACGCACATACAAACGCGCGCGCGCGCGCGCACACACAGACACAATTGTATCACTTCTGTGACTCTCGGACAGGTATTACATACGACGAACGGCACGTATTACACTGCAACACATTATTTATTATACTCTCTACCAGTGTTGTAGTGGTAAATTATTTTTTTGCGTATACTCCCTTATACTGATAGCTCAATCCTCAAAGCAACAAGCCAACGACGAGGCGCTGCGCCGTGGTTGTGATTCACAAACACAGTGCCCCCCCCCCCCAGTGACCCAACCCTGGCCAGATCAAAATTACAAAGAAACAAACACAAACAAATCATCTTTCACAATAAATATTCCTCAAATATCATTGTGTTTACACTTTTACATTGTTTATAATAAGATAATTAGTGCATCACATGATAAATCGTTGAAATTCTATTGGATAACGTCGCAGGTACTATGAAACAATGGTGCCCGCCTGAGCGGGCACTAGTGCTTGCGCGACGCAGTGCGCAGTGCGCTTGCGTATGAAACAATGATGCCCGCCTGAGCGGGCACTATTGCTTGCGCAACGCAGTGCGCTTGCGTATGAAACAATGATGCCCGCCTGAGCGGGCACTATTGCTTGCGCGACGCAGTGCGCTTGCGATACTCGGACAATACTTTTATTCCAATGTTTATTCCAGTTGCAATGTGTTACGTTTGTGTTTTAATACAAATTGAAATTGTTCGTTTAAGAAACTTTGTCTTATTCACTTAATATTTGCCGAGTAGTAGATTGCAAAGTTATGTGATGCACTAAAAACATTATTGCCTGTTGTTGGGGGCACTATGAGAGCATATAATAGTATACAATAATATATAAATACTGTGATGTAACGTGCTATACGTATTATAAGAGGAAACACTGTAATTCCCTGTACCTTGTTTATACCGTATTAAAGATTTATCAGTTCGGTTACCTAATTATAACTCATTGTTCCTACTCTCTATCACTTAGTTTCGTTCTATATCTAGTATCTACGCATCCACACCACGGCACACGTATAAACTATAGCTATATCGATCTAATTTGTAGGCTGGTTTTACACGCGGCAGTGACACCTTTTATACCCCTAGACACAACTGACGAATACGGTAAACATACAGTCACGGTTCAGTCGCACAGAGCAAAACCGCTACACTGGCATAGACTGGGCGCCGCGCGCGCGCCACGTGCGCCCCGCCGCACGTACGTTTGATTTGTTAAAAGTTAGTCGCGTATATGGATAGCCAACACAAATTAATTCTATGGAACACCACGCGCAGCGTATGAATGTCGACGATTTTCATAATTCGTAGATCTACTATAAAGTCTACATTTATTTTATTTTTTGTATTTATAGCCTAATTATTTTTTTTAGGTATACGTGCGTATACCCAAAAATGTCATTTTTTAAGTATACGGCGTATACATAAGTATACCCTCCACTACATCACTGCTCTCTACTAACTCAGAGGTAGCGTACAAGCAAACGCCACGCGGTAACAGAGAGCGAGCTCGTGTTCACGCTCAAATATATAACAAAGTAATAACGTAGGTGGCAGCACCGTTATGAACCACGTGAATACTGTTACATCTCCCTCTAAATTTGGCCTTTACAACTATTGCTGACATGAACAAATACTTTGTATCAGGCCCGTAGCCAGCTTTCTATTGGGGGGGGGGGGTTCGTTTTTCAATGTTGGCAATTTGCTCGGCAGGGGCCTGTACAGGATTTGTACCAGGG